ACACACACACACACACACACACACACACACACACACACACACACACAGAGGCATTGAAGCATTTTTTAAAAACACATACAGAAGGAAAAAGAAGGAATGCCTGAAGGAAATACAGACAAGCAGGGCAGCTTTAAAAGTTAATATGTGCCATATTAACTTCATTTCCTTTTTTGACAGGGTTGCTGTACTAGTAGGTAAAAAGAATGCTATAAATAAAGTTTACTTAGATTTTAACAAAGGCCCTCAAAATTAAGTCAGCACAAATACTGTGATATTTGGCAATTTCAACGCAAAAGCGGGAATAGGTAAGAATGGTGAAAAATACATTAGGAAATCATTAAAAAGAAATAAGAAAGGTAAAAGACTGGTAGACAACACAGAAGCCTGTCTCTATATACATACATACACACACATACATATGTACTATATATACATATATAATACCTTTTGAGAAAAGAATCAATAGGTGCTGGACATGGTAAGTGGTAAATACAAGCAACAAAAGAAAAAAAGGAATTTATTATATTTTAATAGAAAGGAAATGATTTGTTATCGATGAGGGAGTTATTCCTGAATCAAATGTCTTTGTACAGTCAGACCACTGAGTGAATCTAGAATGAAATTTTCCCTTGCTGGGTTTTGGATTTTTTTCCACTTTTTGAAGGATGAAATTTTGAAAACTTTTGTAAACTAACGAAGAACAAAATGAACAGAACCGAGAAAACTATATATTTACAACACTGTAAAGACAGACCTCCTGACAGAGGTAATGGATTTAGGGTGCAGAATGAAACATATATATTTTTGCTACAGCCAATGAGGGACTTTGCTTTGCTCCACTATGCATATTTGTTACAAAGGTTTTGTTTTTCTTTTTTCTTTTCTCAATAAGATGAAAATAGGAGGGCAAGAAAATAGATCTGTTAATTAAAAAAAAAACTTAAAAACAGAGAGGTTCTTTACCCAGTAATACTGCTACTAGATCTATACTCCTAAGGAGATCAAAGCAAAATAAAAAGGACATATATGTATTTATATATTTACAGTACTTCTTGTGGTGGCAAAGAATTGGAAACTGAAGGGATGCTCATCAAATGGGGAATGGCTGAACAAATTATAGTATATGAATGTGCTATAACAAATAATGAAGGGGATGGTTACAGAAAAACTTGGGAGGACCTATATGAACTGATGCAAAGTGAAGTAAGCAGAATCAGAACAATCTATATAGTAACAGCAATATTGTAAAGAAAATTGTAAAGAGTAACTCTGATACAATGAGCCACTACAACTTGAAAGGACTCATGATATAAAATGCTATCTACCTCCAGATAGGAAGTTGATGGACTAAGAGTGCAGATTGAAATATTTTTTCTTTTCTTTGTTTTTCTTTTTTTTTTTTTTCAGAATGTGGCTAACATAGAGATATGTTTTGCATTACGTATCATATTTCACTCTTTTTCAACAAGTGGGAGAGGGGTGGAGAGAGGAATGTGGAACTGAAAATTAAAAACTCATTTTTTTAAATAGAGAGTTTTGGGGGTGCTATAGATGTGGAATGCTGCATGCAATTTCAAATGAGGTCAATGAATTATTAGTTTTGCTTAACTGTTTTACTTTGTTATATGAGACCCAGAATGGGGGAAATCTGGAAATATTTATAAAGTAAAAACAAAACATATTAATAAAACTTTTTTAATAGTGTAAAGAATAAACAAAAAGGGATGAAATGATCATTAAGGCAAGTCAAGAAATAATTAACTGCTCTGTTTTGGAGGAAGATAATGTAAACTCTAACAGATATTCAAATAATTGAAGCCCCCTATCACTAATATATCATGCCTTTGTGCCAGGTTTATGATGTTTCCTGAACTCCATATCTATTTCCTCTTTTTGTCCAGGTAGTGCACTCTAATGACAGTATCAATTCTATTTATGTCTCTGTTGTGGTGTTGGTAAAAGACTATCCTCAAGTTAGAAGTACCTCTGGTAGAATATACACCTTAAGAGAAATCAGTAAGAAAAAGAGCCAGGCAACCACCTAACGTGCTATTACAATCCAAGCTATAGCAATGCCTTTGGAACCCTAAGGATGAAATGAGTAAGACCTAGGGTTCATTCCACCCAGTACTCTACTGAAAAAGGCAGGTTCAAGAGATGTGCCATGGGAGAGCACAATCG